GAGTGCTGAGGCAACATTTATATAAGTTTTTATATATATATATATATATATATATATATATATTAGATTTTGAATATATTTTATTTCAGATTTATTTTAATCACCAAAAATGATTTGTATTAGTTGTAGTTTTAGTTAACAATAACAGGTGTAATAATAACAATTGTAATGTATGTATGTACTTTTTAACCAGGCATACTGTTTGAAATGTAAGAAACTCGACCTGATGATATTGGCAATTTGAGTCTAATCAGACCCATGCTGATAACAAAACAACATGATAATCCCGGACCGATAGTGATATTTTATTCATATTTCTCTCCATTGTGTAACGAAGAGCTAGTTCATTTTAAAACATGCCAGAGTCATTTTCTCTGCAGGAAATAAGAAGCAGCGTCCCCTGCTGTGTGTCTCATCTGATGAGTGTGTGTGAATGAGCAGAGCTTCTACCAGACTCATTTTAATACTGGATCATTCATGCATCTCACACACACAGTCAGATAACAACAGCTTTTATTAGAGATGATTTGTGTGTGTGTGTCTGTGTGTGTGAGTGTGTGAGTGTGTGTGAGTGTGTGTGTCTGTACGCGTTTTTGTGACAAATGAGGACATGTGTGTGCGTGTGTGTGTGTGTGTGTGTGTGTGTGTGTGGCTGTATGCCAACTAGAATGGTCTACAGCTAAAGACTCTCCAGCACTGAAGTCTGGGCACAGACCCTCTCCATATAACCGTCATACTCTGCTTTAGCTCATATATAGTCTCTTTGTCATTAGTTTAGTATTTAAAAAGAAAAACTACTTAATTTTTTTTGGCCTGTTTTGATAAAACTGACATAAAAAGTCAAAATCATGAAATAAAAAACAATTATAGCATAAAAAGCTGAAATTATGACAGTCATAATAATGGCATGTCTCAATTACCAAAAAATCTACTTTTTATATCATAATTTTGATCTTTTATCTCATAATTTTGACTTTATCATTGTAACACAGTTCGTAGTTCGGGAAGGAGGCGGGAACCGGCGAACATTCAAAGAAAACTTTAATAATAAAATAAACACAAAATAGCGCGACAGCCCCTCGCGGATGACTGTCGCGCACAAACAGAACCAAAACACAAAATAAAGTCCAGGCCTGGTCCTCTCTCGTCCAACACTGTCGTCACTCCTCCTTTTATCCCTCCGGAGCTCCTCCGTGAGACTCGAGGCCGGTGAGTGGCGCAGGTGTCGCTCATTAGCAATTACTCCACCCGCCCCCCACTCGTCACAATCATAATTAGCCATTTTTTATCTCAATTATTTGTGTCGCATAATTTCAACTTTTTATCTTAGAATACATTTTTTATCTCATAATTATGACATATCTCAACATTTTGACATGTATCTCATTATGGCTTAGTATCTCATAATTGTCAAAATTTGTCTTTTTGTCATAATTATGGCTTTTTATCTCATTATTTCAACTTTTTTTGTCATAATTTGACTTTTTGTCATAATCATGGCTTTTTATCTCATTATTCCAACTTTTTGTTTCATATTTATGACTGTCATAGTTGTGTTTTTATCATTTTATTTTTCTCAATTTCAGCCCGTTATTATGATTTAGTATCTCAATTTTATCAAAATTTAAAAAAAATTATCTCAAATTTGGCCTTTTATCCCATAATTTTGATTTCATAATTTCAGCTTTTTATCTCATTTGGACATTTGTCTCATTATGACTTTATATTTCAATCAATTTTGACAAAAAAAGAACATTATTATTTTATCATCTCATAATTTTGGCTTTATCTCATAATTTCAAACATGTAATAGTTTTCTCATAATTATGATTTATTTTATAATTATGATTTATCTCGTTATGACGTAGTATCTCATAATTTAGGTTTTTTATGTCATAATTTTCCAAAGCATGATGTCTTGTTCTTATGTGGCAGAAGACCCGAGCCAGCAGACAGAAAGAGACACTCAAAGCTCAGAACAACCCCCACAACACGCTAACACTGAGGCACCACGGTTTTTTACTGGCAAGAACTTCAGAAAATTTAAAAATCAGCTTATTTGTTTGTTTTTTGTACCGTATTTTTGTTGTTGAGGGGGTTCGGTTTGCATCATGATCAGGTTCATATGCGGATCAGCTTGACACAGAGCCGTTAGCGTGAAGCGCTCCAGCGTTAGAGATCTCACTGCGCTGGTGATTGAAAGAGCGCTGATATGAAGGAAACACGTGTCAGGACGATCCTGAGATCATGAAAGCGTCTGGCATTTCTGCAGCTGTGTGATTGATTCAGATGATGAAGCTGACAGCCATGCTGCGCTGGTGATTGAAAGAGCGCTGATAACGAAGGAAACACGTGTCAGGACGATCCTGAGATCATGAAAGCGTCTGGCATTTCTGCAGCTGTGTGATTGATTCAGATGATGAAGCTGACAGCCATTGTTTCCTCCAGAACTGTTCTCTGGACCGAGATGTTCATATCTCTGACCTTCAGATTTGTAAGGCTTTCACGCTGAACCCGCTGAAAGCTGAAGCTAAATATGGCACATGAACACCTCGTTCTGGAGATTTCCTATCGATTGCCGTCAGACACACAGACTGTGCCAGAAGAGAAATGCCACATTAATCAAGTGTCTTTATTGTCATTCTGTCAGTCACCATCTTTTCCAGTCTGTGCCACCTCTTCCTGTCTGCCACTTCCTGTTTGCACTCTTTCTTATTCTTTATTCCAGAATATCTGAATGTTGTTTCATCAGATCAAGTGTCTGTATCTGTCTCTTTTCTCTCCCGAACTTCACTTTTCTTTTTCATGACTTTTAACTAAACCACTTGTCTTTTTTTTTAAATATATATCTTAATAATCTCTTATCTCTTCTGCTCACCAGTATCAAAAATACAGTAAAAGAAATAAAAGATCAATAAGTCATGGCAACATATTTTTTCCCATTACTTTAACTTAAATCAAAATAATTGAACCAATTTCAACTTCATTTTTATGTTATGCAAGGTTCAGCTTCATTTTTTATTTAATTTATTTAACTGATTTAAAATATATTATATTTTAAGTCAATTTAATATAATTAATAATAAGAAATTAAGTTGAAATGTCTTGAACAGCCAATTTTATTCAACATAATTTAAGGCAGCAAGTAACTATACAATACAATACAATACAATATATTCACATAGAAATCAGTTATTTTAAATTGTAAAATGTCATTTATTGCTGTGATGCAAGGCTGAATTTTCAGCATCATTCCTCCAGTCTGCAGTTGTCTCATTTCTGTCGTCATACTGTGTAATGTTTTTGGAGCCAGTGTCTCGTATTACTGTATTGTGTCTAAATATCCTCTGAGAGTCCCATCATCTGTGCGGGACAGTAATGATGGTCCGTCAGCAGTAATAAAGTGAGAGTGAGTATGTGTGTGTGTGTGTGTGAGTGTGTGAGTGAGTGTGTGTGAGTGAGTATGCGTGAGTGTGTGAGAGTGAGTGAGTGAGTGAGTGAGTGTGCGTGAGTGAGTGAGTGAGTGAGTGAGGGTGTGTGAGTGAGTGAGTGAGTATGCGTGCGTGTGCGTGCGTGTGTGTGCGTGAGTGAGTGTGTGCGTGAGTGAGTGAATGTGTGTGAGTGAGTGAGTATGTGCGTGAGTGTGTGTGTTTGTGTGCGTGAGTGAGTGTGAGTGAGCGAGTGAGTGAGTGAGCGAGTGAGTGAGTATGTGTGCGTGTGTGTGTGAGTGAGTGTGTGAGAGTGAGTGTGCGTGAGTGAGTGAGTGAGTGAGTGAGTGAGGTGAGTGAGTGAGTGAGTGAGTGAGTGAGTGAGTGAGGTGAGTGAGTGAGTGAGTGAGTGAGTGAGTGTGTGAGTGAGTG